TAATTATCCTTTGAGCCTTATTTTAAATAAAATCCCTTTTCGAAGGAATAAATTTTTAAACAGAGACTATTAAATCAAAGATAGACAAGCTGAGACTTTTTATGATGTCATAATTCTGCTTTCAGGCCTTCTTACAAAAACGATAGGCGAATTAGTAAGAAAATGGGGGATAAAAGAAGTGTGTGAAGAAAGCCTTACATTTTAGTATGTTATGCCATCTTTTAGAGAAAAATATTACCCATTATCGAGATCTGGCTGTTACAATGTTGTTTGGTCATGTGGTGTGTGTGTGTTTGTGTGTTTTGACGTAATACACAATACCGGTCCTAACTCAGTGGTAAAAGAATATTGTCAGGCTATGATCATCAAGGGTTAATGACATAGTTACTCTAGGTATCTTCAATGTACGTATGTTGGTGAGACAAGACGGCCTATGCGACAAAAATTGGGTCAGAATTGGCCGAACATGCAGGCCAGAGACTGGAAATGAGATAGAATGGTCTCAAACTAGTTGGCTTCCTGATTATGCTACCTCTGCTGAAATTAGTGGATTAGGAAATGCGTTGAATGTGAGGGATTGTGGCATAAAGTTGAGTGGAAATTGCTTATGCTTGATTGATAGATTGAAGGAAAGAGAGTGTGCTGACCAGCCATCCAACAGAAGACGACTCAACTTGTCTGCTCACTGACCCTCCTACCTTTACTTACACTCGTCCAACATGTTAGATTAAACTCATCAACCAAACCAGACGTACCAGATTACACATTCCCAGTCCTGCTATTCCTTGAGAGGTTAAACCCTACTGACCCTGGACTGAGAGGTCAGGACGGGTGGTTTCGTAACTTGACTTACACACTCACAAGCTCACATCTCATTATTTCAACCAAACTCGTTTACGGACTTATGCAGTCTCGGTCAGGGCTTTCTCTTGGGTCATCAGGCCTTGATGATCAGAGCCTGACATTAGCCTTTTGATAACTCTGATTTAGGACCGGTATTGCGTATAGACACTGACACAAACATAACACACATTCGAGCAAAGGTTGCTGAACTGGTATGAAAGATAATTAGCCAAACCATACAAAATCTTTCTATAGCTATTCATTTTCGTTTTTAGTTAAGTCTAAATTAAAGGTAACATAGAACTGGATAATTTCATTGACCCAGTATAAGAATGAGATCAAACCATGATGATCGATGCAAGCTCATCCTCTTTTTACCCGAGCGAGGAAGGATGTCTTCTTGACTGCGTCAATCTGAACTTCGTATTAGAGCCAAATGGCTGCAGTACAACAGGATTCAGCCGTCGTCTTCTGGTAAGATTGACCTACGAATCTCTTCTCCTTACACTTTCATATGAAATGAAGGCCTCCCAGCAATGTTATCCCGGTAGATTCATCAAAACTCAGTTACTCTTTATACCTACAAAAATAAGGTTTGTCTTCTGGCCTTGAAACAAAAGCGTGAAATGGTGATCACGTGTTACACACCAATTGGACAAGTTTTTTCACATAACATCACCACATTTTTTGGTATATCCCGTCGAGACTAGTATGAACTTTTGTATCCATTCAATTCAGAATCCCTCGGAAACATATGCACTTACTGTGAATAAATGGCCACATAAATCATTCCATTCCCTCCACGGCAAAGTTGTAACATAAGTTCTCAAATCTCTCCTCCTGCCCTTATCCAACCCAACCCGCAGTCTTCGAGGCCCAACTGCAGTTGCTTATTCTGCCACCTTCACGTCTCTTCTACCCCTCGTTGGCCGGTGGCATGCTAAAGTCACCCTCGACTGTGCCTCGCGATGGCGCAGTCTGTTTTTCTCTCAGCCCAGCCTCGTTCATGTGTGAGTCGAGTAGCCACACGTTGAAAGGGCTACCGGCGGCGCCATCCGCCGGAGGCCAGACCGTAAGATTGGCGCTACTCCGACCCATTCATACCATCCACAGAATCTGGCCAAAGTCAGGCTTTCAGCTCAACGTCGTCCTCTCTCTTCACATTCCTAGCCTTCCAGGACCCCTAAGCTTGGCATTGGCTGAGGCTTCTGAGCCGGATCTTAGAGGCCGACAAGTTTGGCTTCTTTTAGCCGGTCCATTTCAGAATCGTCCTCAAGCTAGCCTCACCAACAGGCCATCTCTCCGTCCGGCCGGTGTGTTCGCCATTCGGCTCAACCCCGACGAGTGGCCGCCATCACGTTCCGAGGGCTTGGTGATTGAGTTCGGCCTGAGGGTGGATTCTGTACTACCGGGACCGGCGAAATGGCTGTACGGGGCACGTGTCAACTGGCGACATGTCGAACCTGAGTACTGGTCTCTGGCTGGATCCGAGCTTCGTGGGCCACGTCTGGCTACCGGATGGTCGTTTCGGCATGCCATTCTGGCCTGGTTTCACCTCTTCACTGGCCCAGCCTCTAGTCACACGATGCCGGATCGTGACAACTGCCAGCCCACTTTAGGGAACGGAGGTTGTGCAGAGGTGAACGACTTCTCAGGCGATCGGAACAACCTGACTGCCGGTTACATACAGTTCAAGTTGGTCTGGTTGGAGTTGTGGAATCAAGACTTTCAAACTCTCCGACTGACAAGAAACCTTGATTTCGGTAAATTAACTCGTATTTTAGATGTTTTCACCCTATCTCGTTTAAGGTGATGAAGGACTGATAATTGCATTGGCTCAAATCAAGAAACTACAGTTCCCAACCACCTTTCACATTATCTGCAGCTCACAGTTTGGTAAATGAACGATTAAAAGTGAAATAAGCAGTAGATTCAGGGAAGTTACTTCCGAAAGTTGGAAAAAATCAACGGTAGACAAAATGTAAACGTTTCCTCATTAATAAACTGAATAATGACATCTTTGGTCTTTCAACTGCTTCGAAATACAGATACAATGTTTAGATGATAGCCGAACTCTGCAGGACACTCCGTTAAATTGTCCTTTCATCAATCACTTCTTGTCAATATGCAAATTTTTGGGCCCATTTTGAGACCAAGTCCCCATGGAGAGGGACAAAGTAATATACACATATCCTGGTAAGAAATGATTAACTCCATTATGGAGGCAATCGTGTTGATGGCAACTATTTAGACTATCATAATTTGTGCAAATGTATGATTTACAGACTAGGAATGTTTTACAATTAAATGAATTTATTTTTCGAGACTTAACCTGAAACGAAATAGGCTAAACACATCTCATGCAGTTGCTTTTCTGGTATTCCCGAAACCTACTCAAAAGCAACAAATAAGTAATCTACTAGAATGCTTTTGCAAATATAACTTTGCATCATCGACAATCCCACCACAGAATGCGATATGGAAAATTCACATCTGCCCTATGACCCAAGGGCACTAGTGGTAATGGGCTTAAGTGGTTAACGTGATGAGATTATGCGCTGCACTGTCATGGTTCGAGTCTCATTGTGAAGACTGATGAGACCAGTCCAGGCGTGGTCG